ATCCTTCCACTGTGAGAAGACAACTCAACACTATGAGTCTGAAAGGATGTGTAGCTGTTAAGAAGCTGTTACCGAGAAAAGGACATATACAAAAAAGAAGAAAGTCTCCAAATCAAAGAAGCTCCTGGTGTTCTCAGAACAACGAGAGGTCACCCCAGAGTCCAGTGGTCATTTATGATGTTTTATGCAGACGGCAACGGACCTCATCATCACCGAATGTGTTTGGGATCACTCGGATTGTGAGAAACCAAAAATTCAACCAACTTCTTCGACTGAACTTTGGAGGGGTGGAAAAAATATCCCTGCAGATTTCTTTGAAAAACTGAAAGAAAGTCTCCTGAAAGACTGGAAACTGTAATACAGACAAAGAGTGGACATACTAAATACTGAAAAATGAAGTTGTTGAGTCTTCTGTGCAATTTTCTGTTAAATATGTTGCAATAAATGAAGGGTGTTCTCTGACTTTTGCACAGTACTATATATAAGGTTTTTTGTACTATACTACAGACAAAAAAAATCTCTACAAAACCAAAGGAAACCAAAAAAAGAAAAAAGGGAAAAGACAAACCAAAAAAATCTTAGGAGCATGAATTCAACTTTAGGGTCCCTACAAAGATCTAAATACAAAGCCACATACACACACAGGCCAAACTTACTCAAACCTTACAGGGATATCTTTGCATTTTCTTGGAATCACACAACTTCTCCAGAAAGTCGGCAGCCGCAAAATGTGTGTGTGTGCGTACGCCAAAGAAAGTCGACTGGAGTCTCTGGCTCAGGAAACAGAGGGTTCCTGTTTGTGAGCCAAGTGCTATTGTTCTCTCTCGCTCTCTCTCCTTCACAAAACACACAGAGACACACACACTTTGACATTGTTCCCTTTAAATGATATTTTGGCTAACTCATCCCTGACACCCATTCCCACGCGCTGCTGTCAGGATGCACCTCCCGCATGATTTTACAACTCTACTGCTGTGGCTACACTTGGCCGCTTAGTCACTGTCGACGGTAACTCTGATCACTCCAAGTTAGACATTTAACACAGACTTTTTCACACTCACATACAGACACCGTGGGTCCCTGCGCTCAGGGTGGTGGCTGAGGATTGATGTTAAGTCTGCCAAAGCATCTGGATTTAACGTACCATTAAGGTCATCTGCTGTTCAGACTCCACCTGTAGCTCCTCTGTTCAACAGCAGTCCTCCTTACCCAGCCCTCCTCCCCCTCTTTCTACTCCCCTACACTCTGCACTTCTCTTCTCTCTGCTCCTTATGCCCTATGAGGCGTGCAACACTGAGCAAGAAAGAAGTAGTTCAGCAGAAAAGAAATTGTACACAATTTCGCTCTTACATTAACCCTTACGACAATCACATTTGGTGTCTTAAGTTGTCTTTGGTTTTAAACTGCAGCTAAGGCCAATATAACTCTAGGTAACAGTATGTGAACTTTTATTTATACAGCACTTTTAGAAGAACCTATGGAAGTCTGGAGAGGCCATGAGCTGTTGCTATAATTTTCTGGATTGTTATCTTCTGATAACGAGTTAATTATCTTGTGATTTAAGATAAAAACTGTTATCTTGAGACCACAAGATAATTAACTTGTTATTTTAACGCTGCTACTTATGGAAGTCCAGAGAGGCCATTAAGTAGTTATAATTTTCTGGATGGTTATCTTCAGATAACAAGATAAATATTTTGTTATCTCAAGATAACCTTCCAGAAAATTATAACTACCTAATGGCCTCTCTGGATTTCCATAAGTAGCAGCGTTAAAATAAAAAATTAATTATCTTGTGGTCTCTGGACTTCCATAAGAACGAGCGTTGAGTAACAGCACTTCAAAGACCTAGCTAGTGGGTGGAACTGGACACAATAAAATTGGTTAGAAAACTCAGAAAAACACAACACACTTTGGTTCTAAAGTGTACAGGAAGCCAGTGAAGTGATGCTAAAACAGGAGTGATATCTCTGTATTTCACTCCACAGAGTAGCTGTGCAGCAGCAGCTGCAAGCATGCCAAGCAGGTCTGACTGAGACCCATATTTTGTGAACCACAGCAATCCAAGCGACATGTCACAACAGCATGAATCACCTTTTCCAGATCAAAACCTGCCTTTGACAACTGTTGCAATTTGTTTATGAAATTTAAGCTCAGAATCAAAAATGACCTCAAGGTTTCACTTGAGGTCTAACATAAAGAGATGGCTGGCCAAAATGTCCTACTACAAGCACTGGAAGTTTATACCTCCCAATTAGCATTGTGCTTAAAATGGATAAAATTATGCTGCATAGCTAAAATCTATTGTAGAAGCGATCTTGCAGCCTGAATTTTGTCTGTAGTTTTGTCTATTTTTATAGATAAAAGTAGGTCATACAGTGTGAGACGCCACATAAGCGAGTCTATTTCAGATCATCTGTCGACTCAACACGGTGAGCTACAGTCGTACGCAAAAGTTTGAAACCCGCTGGTCAAATACGTTTGGTTGATTTTCTAAGTGAAAATTAGTTAAACCATTTTATACAGGAAATACACTTAAATACTGCATTTTTCTGCACATATTAGAGTGCAGTTTCAATTTATTTAAGTTTAACATATTGGAAAAGAATAAAACATAACATATAAAATGTGCCATAATTTTTGCAAAGGCCACATTTTATGTTTTCTTCCTCCAATTTATTAAATTCAGCACATAAACAGTAATTGTGCATTAAAATGTGCAGAAGTGTGTTCACTGTAGAGAATGTGTATAAAACGTCATTTGACCAGTGGGGCCAAAACTTTTGCGTAAGTGTAGGATAATTTGTATTAATGTGCACTCACTGCATTAACTGGTGAACACAGGCTTCCATGACTTGTAGCTATAATAGCCACTATAAAAACTCAGCAGTTTGATATTCTGCCAAACTATCGCTTTAATGTTAAGAGCATTTTTAGATCTAGGCCATATATGAATTTGACTGATGTCAGACTACAGTTTAGCAGTAAAAAAAGTCCTTATATTCTGGAGCTTTATATAACAACAAACTCTTCTATTCTCACTGCTCTTCAAACTGACTTCCCATGGCTGAAAGAAGCCTGTTCCTCTCCTCTGCTCTCATTCTCCCTCCATCTCCCCCAAAATAGCTCTCATCCACACGCTCACCCTCTCTCCTTCAACCTCTCCTAACATTTCTGACTTGCTCATAGCTAACTATCCAACCATCCTTCTTCCACCTCCCTTGCCCCCCCTCCACTTCTATATCCACCCTCTCCATTCCCGAGGGACCCCCCATCACAGGGCAGCCTGTTCTGCTGTGTGAGCCAGACGCTCTCTGCTGGAGCGCAGGTTTCCTGAGCTTTAAGAACACAGAGCTGGCAAGCGCGCACCCTGCAAGCGGGCCAACTCGCCTCAGCACAGCACACACATAGACAAATACACCCACAAGCAAAGAAACAAACTGTAATATGCCCTGAGGAGAACGATAAGAACAACTTGTCTTCCTCTTCACTGAACTAAAGTGTGAATGCAGGCCTGGATAGCACTCGAGCACTTTACACATACTGTAAAACATTAAAATGTATTAAAGAAAGTAAGACCTTGAAGGTGTCGGTAATTACATAACAAACTTGGCTCCAACTGGAATCCTTGTAGCCTAGGCTACTGTGTTTCTCCTAAGCAAGCACAACTGTTTGTCTGGCACAAGCTGGAAAAAAAGTCTCTCACAAATATAAACACCACCCAGAATAACCCGGCATCTGTCTGGACAGTGTTTACGTGGTGGGGGGCTTTGACTGTCTTTGCCCATAGTGAATCATGTTTACATCTGCCTGGCTCTGAAAACACTCAGGTCATGGCCTCTGCTGCCCGCCAAGACCTCAGCATCCTCAGTGTCCTCAGCACTGAATGGGCGGATGTAACCCTGCAGAGACACTGGACCGAACTGACACTGAAGGAAGCGGAAAACAGTCAGCGTTGGCATTTCATTTCCCAAAATGACATAAAAATTAGTGCAGTAGACTACTGATACAGATGACGGTTCCTCTGCCTATAGCAGTGTTTCCTAACTCTGGTCCTGTTTTCCCTCAACACACTGAACACCTATAGTAGAAAATACATAGTAATATTAAGTTTTATAAGAAGTATTAAATGATGAGTGCATTCAAAATCTCATCTTACCTTGTAGATATGCTGTTTTGTTTGTATTCTGCCCCCCATAGTTCTCCAGGTTCCTTCATCACGGCCAAACATCTAAGCGCATCTCTGGTTGGTGTTGCATGGGGGCTGGTTACTTTTGACCTCCTGGACCTGCAGTTGCCGACAGCATACAAGGCAGTTGCCTGGCTGATGCCTGTGTACTTGCCGGTGTTGTTTGGATGCTATTCGCTGGCAACAGTTGGCTACAGAGTAGCCATTTAATGACTTTGTGGAGGCGGCCAAAGAGCTGCAGGCACAGATACAAGAGGCTACAAAGGAATTAAAGAATAAGGAACTGATGATGTGAAGGCTGTGTTAAACACACACACAGGAAATGTGAAAGAAGTAAAATGACACAAACATTAGTGCAGGTGATTAATACAGATGACAGTTCCTATGCCTACAGTAGTATTTCCTAAGCCTGGCCCTGGAGGCCTACATTCTAATGTCTTCTCTGCTTTAACACCCACTTCATCCCAGTAAGGCGTAGTCAATGAGCTGATTTGTTGGACCAGGCATGTTAGGAGCAGAGAATAAACTAAAAAGTGCAGAGCAGTATAGCAGTGAGCCTCCAGACACAGGGTTGGGAAACACAACAAAATGGCTTCCAAGCAGAAACAGAGGTAAACTCACAAGCCAAAGTTTGCCTGAAATTTCATTACCAACAGGCTAACTTTGGTCTACCTAAACAAAACGTTTAAATTTCCTAGTTTCTAATTGCATGTAATGCGATAATAATACTAATAATTGATTATAAAGTGTCAGTCTTACCAACTGGTCTTTTATTTCTTATCTCTAGCCTTCCTGTCCCTCACGCACTACAAGTCCCAGCAGCCTTCAGGAACTTATTACGTCATTGCCGCGCGCATTCTGTACGAGTAGTGGTGAGCTGGCTGAGAGGTAAGACGAGTGCTAGCAAGATTTATTCAGAGCAGGACGTCTTTGGACATCTCTGGACGTCTTTGGACATCTCTGGACGTCTGTGCTGTCATTACAGGCATTCGTTGTACCAGATACTTAACAGCTTGGTCACGGCTGTCTTTTCTAAGTGTCTTTTTTCCTGCGCGGTATCTAGCCTGCAGGCTAGCTGAGTGGCTAATTCAGCTAATCTCTCCACGGCCTCAGTGTATAAAGTCAATAATACTTTCCATTAAACCAGATAATAATAGTTCTTACAAACTGTTCAGAGTTATTTGAAATAAAGAACACTCTCGATATCTAATAGCTAGGTTCATAAAGGCGCTCCTTAATGTGATAACGGCACTAAACTACAGTGAACTCCGCTGAGTAATAAAGTACGGTTCATTATAAGTCACTCTTTGATTTAACTTAAGCCGGCTAGTGGGGATTGTTACCTTATCTCGCCGTTCTTTATTCTGTGTGTTATTAAGGAGAATTACGCCGGTTTTTCAAAATTTCTGCATAATTAAATCGTCGAGGTGTAAGCAAAGTCATTCAGAGTGGTTTGGTGTGAAATGCTCAGTTATAGAGATTCTTACTGAGTTAGAATTGTTTTCAGTGGTGGTGATAGGAACCAGACGTCTGAAGAGTTCAATGCCTGAAAAAGCTATCATACAGAAAGTCATTGCAAATACATTGTTACATGAAATTGTTACAGATACATTATTAGATGCATGAAACAATGTTATGTAACCTACTTTTTTGGCATAAAACCTATCTGCATGGTGAAAAGTTAGATATGGGGTGTTGTAAGCTAAATTATCCCATTGGAAACAAAGGTTTTTATATTTATAAGTATTTTACTGTTATCAGTATTTTATACATAAAACTCATGAACGCTGATTGTTTTGGATAGTAAATAAATCGTATATATTTTCCTTGTAGACATTATGTGGTTCCTCTCACCATCACTGTAAAGGAAATCAGCCAGTAATTTTCTCTACAATGCACCATTTCACATTAAACCACTATGAATGATTTTGTTTACATCTCAACGATTAAATGATGCAGAAATCTTGAATGGAGTTCCACTTTAAGCAGTTTTGCTTTTGCGCTACTCTTTTGTATTCAAAAAGTTTTCTGTCTGCTGCTGCCTGTTACTAGGCTTTCATCTCATAGTGAACTTATAATAAGAAAAACACTAATATTTTCTATATCTTCATGCTTTATATGAAGTATGAAATGATGAACACATTTAAAACCTCATCTAACCTTGTATGTATGTTTTATATGTATTCTGCCCCCTCCAGAATTTCCAGGTTCCTTCATCATGACCAAACTTCTGGAGTGGCTTCTGGGTGTGTCATTGGTTGGTGTGGCGTGGGGGCTGGTTACCTTTGACCTCCTGGACTTGCAGTTGCCGGAGGTGTACAAGGAAGTTACTTGGCCGATGCCGGTGTACCTTCTGGTGGTGTTCGGATGCTATTCGCTGGCAACAGTCGGCTACAGAGTAGCCACGTTTAATGACTGTGAGGAGGCGGCCAAAGAGCTGCAGGCACAGATACAAGAGGCTAAAGAGGACTTAAAGAAGAAGGGACTGAAGATGTGAGGACTGTGAAAAACACACAGTCATCTAGCCTGCTTGTGTGGACATTGCTGGAGCATTATCAAGCCATAAGACAGCCATTATATCTTTTTTTGTGTGGCTAAATATGTTGTTTCCCATTGTCTGTGAATAACTACAGGTTTCACCAGTTTGTTTTATCTTTCTGACCTAAATCTAGGAATCAAAATGTTACAATGGAAACTGAAAATGTTGTAAAAACATCGAGACCTAAAATCTGTGTTACAGATGTAAATGACATTTTTCCTTTGGACACAGTGCATCCCATTCTAACAATCCATGTAAAACCTTGCAAGCACATGTACATAAAGCCAGTGGAGAATGTTCTATTTTAGCGCAGCCTCCAGAGCATGTGTATTTGGGCTGGCATGGGAACGGAGACATTTTTTAGCCTAGTCAAAATTCGCAACAGTTAATAACATCCCTACCGCATGGCTTCACGGTAGTGTGAGATAGCTGTACTGTGAACTTAGCGCTAGCAATACCACCAGATATAAAACTGAGAGGTTGATTTTTAATGAGTTTGATAACAGGGTAACAGTGTTCAAGAAATACACACATGAGTGCACAGGAATGTCTGCGGCAAAAACTCGGAGCCCTGGTTCTGTTTTAAGATGGAGTTGATTGTGTAATCTGTATAATTCCACTCAAAGGGTGTTGGGTTGTATTACCATGAACCAGGGTCTGCATTCATAGAGCATCTTAAAATGTGTGTGCTGATTTCGGGTCTGATTTTTTTTTTAACGTCACAGAGTCGTTTCTCTTTACTGACCACCCATTATTTCAATGTGGTGAAGAGAAACTGATCCAGAGAACTGCACTAAGTGAATATAGCCACATGTTTCTGTTGGTTTCCCATTTAAATGGCTATCTTAGTTTCCCTAATGGCTGATTTGTAGCTCACTATAATGAATGGGTCACTGCTGTGAAATCCGAACATGATGTGGTCCACTGGAAAACAAGCTCTTTAATGGATAATATTCGGATGGCTTTTTTTTGTTCTGCATTCCATATGTTACTGACTGTTCTAGGCTAAGTCTTAATGTGAAATACAGACTATTTTTCCTCATAACTTTCATCGTTTGATTAACAATTTCTTGTGTTTTCATTCCAAATGTGGCGCAAGAGCCTTCGGACCCCGATTGTTTTGTGGATGGAAAACCTCCATCCGTCCCATTCCATTGGACACTGTTGCAGAAAGGAAAAACAAAAACACACGAGTGCTCTGTATGGAAATTCCAGAATATGATCCATGTCCATGTGCTGGCTCTTAAAACGCTAATCCCGAAGCCACTAAGTGCACACAAGCGCACTATATTTACACAGGTCAAAATTAATCTGATGTTTTTGGCCAGACAAGCTCTGTCGCTCACTCTGGGCTTTAAATGGAGGCCCTGGGTCTCATTTGGAGTGCCCCCCTGTAGAGGAAAGAACTAAACCCTGCTCTGAGTGTGGACAGACTCATTACAGGCTGCTAAACTGCTCTGTAGCTCTTTAGGGGTGTTTGGAATGATTTTCAGGCCCCGCCCTCGATGGCTCCACCTGAAAGCTGATTGGCTGGCGCTGAAAACATTGTGATGTCACCCCCTGCAGTTACCTGCAAGCTGTCGTTAGCGCAGCCGCGGCCAGAAATGCTGACTAGGCTCCAGACAGACTTCTGTGGTCCCTGAATAGATTTAACGTCTTGCATTTGAGCCGATTTATTACACCTTTATGGGTTTGTGGTTCTTTAAATTAAGCTTGGTGGCAAAAGAAGACTTAGATTGACCCTAATGTCATAAAAGCTGGACCTACCACAACTTAATTCTCTGGAAAAAGAATCAGCTATTGAGAGATCTCCTTCTTCTTCCATTTAAGTTTTCATGGCTCCTTGCTGCAATGTTACACATCACCTTTATCCATGTAAATACAATTTGCCAGACTTTCCTGACCTCAAAGTCCACAACAAAGCATTTAACAAAGTCACGTGCACTTGTGTAGTAACAAAAAATTATATACAAATCCACTCAATCTCTCTGTTAAAGCGGTTTAGAAGCAGATCTCTGCTCTTGGATATGTAGTCTACAGGGATTTGATTAAAGCCAGCCATCTGAGCCAGCAACATATGGGGATCACTGCTTATGTACTGTTACGAAGAGGGACGAGAAAATGGACGAATGCATTTTTCTATGCAAATAAATATAGAGAGCAATATGGCAGTGTGCAGCTATTGAAGATTAAGACTGCATATTAGGGCATGACATTAGAATTACAGTAGTAGGTCAGCTGTGATATCTGACATGGGTATCACCTGCCTCCATAGGGACTTCATAGCACATACATATTTATGAACAGTTTTTTGCATTAGTCACAAGATGACATAAGGTTTTTTTTATGGGATATGCAATATTGTATTGCTGTAAGGGTCCTAAACTAAAGTGACAGACATGCACACTTTCTACTAAGGAGGCCTTTTGGCTGCAGACATTAACTAACTGAGTAAGCATTTAGAAGAAAGTAATTTTGTACTTCTGTACTCAAGTAGAAATACAGACAAGTTCTTTTTTTATGGTAATTTCTACTCAGATACAGTATTTTTGTATGTATATGTATCACTTATGTTCTCAATGAAACCTCTGCCTTATAAGTTCCATTACTTGGGAATGATGCTTCCTGACCATTAAGCCAATGCAGTGTCATGTACTTCATAAAACCTGTTAAGACATCTTGCGATTACTAGTATTCGCTCATAAATGCAATATTGCTCTGAAAATATGTAACGTGCTTTATACATTACGTCCATATAAAAGTAGCCTTCAAATAAAGTGTTACCATTACATGTTGTGAGCAGTATGGCATGCCAATAGATAAAATGGGTATGAATTTGAGAAGACTTTTTCAGTTCACACAGAGCTGAGATATCCATAGTCTACCTATTGTTCTTATATATCAATCTGCATTGCCTCTTACTGAGATAACTGTAAAACGCTGCCCAGAGTTCATTGAAAACACACCCAACTTAACAATTGCTCAAGATGTTGGAAATACGTTTGAACAAAAGAGAAGTGCACAGCGGCATGCCAACTGCAACAGCATGCTGTGCTCTTGGCAAGTCAAAAAACAGGCCTGGATTGAATAAATAAATAGAAGTCATGATGAGGCCCTATGCAGAAACAGCTTGAATGGCTGACTCCTTAAACACACTTGCAAAGGCAAGCGTTTCAGGTAATGTAAACCTTATTGTTTAAGCTGATTAGCTAAAAGCTTTTGCTAACATCTGTTAGCAAGGTGTGGATCCCAAAGCAGACATGCACCTCAAAGCCGTTCGCCAAAAAGGACTGGGTGGAGGAGTGCAAGCTGAGCCCATGGCAAGGTTCCCAGTAGCGCCTCACTTTTGTTCTTTTTCGCTTCTTTTTTGACCCAGAAAATGATAGCTATTGGTTCAGACAAATGACGGAGAGCTCAGATGTCCTCGTCTGTTATACTTTATGCTTGTCAGGGAACATTTTTACCGTCTGGGTAAAGAAAGAGTTCATCCAAAAATGCTAATGCTGCAACACATGAATGAGACGTACTGCATCATGGAAACTAGGCTATTCTAACTGATATGTTGTTAGCCAAGTTAGCATTTGGGGTGGTTTGACTGTATTCCTGTGTTCCACCGATTCCCTTTTTCTATTCATTCAGAGTGCTTTAATGTGAGATGCTCCATTCTAGCATTCTAGAACTCAAACCATCAGAATTATTCACAATGGTGGCGATACGGGCCAGAAGTCCAAAGAATTTAATGCCTCTAAAAAGTGTCTCACAGGATAGTTGCACATGCCTAAGAAATTGTTTTACTATTGTTTTGCGATAAAGATTTGGCCTAATATCCATTCAGGGTGGAGAGGTACATTCAAAGTGTTAAAAATAGTCCCCAAAGAAAACATATTATCTTGATTTACCACTATTTTATCATTATCAACATTACATATAAAACCAGGAACACACATGTAGATTCACTGGTCTTTTAAACAGTAAATAAAATGGCTATATTTGCATTGTACAACTGCCTGGCTCCCAGGCAGTTGGTAAGTTTCTCTACAATGAACCATTTCACAACCACTCTGAAAAACTGTGTTTACATCTCAGCCAATGAATTCCGACAGAAATTTAGAAAAATCGGTGGTATTGCCTTTGTATGTGTGAGCGACTGGCTAAACGAAAGAAGAAAAGATCCAGTGGCCTGGTTGTAAATGGCCCAGTGCTGATGAATGTTTAATCCTTATTAAACACTGCCAGGCCTTTGTTAGTTTCATTTTCCCTGTGTGATTGAACTTGAACATGGCAATAAACTTTTTTCCACCTCCTCTACAAATCTGCTTTCCCCAGCTAAATGGCCTTTTGAAGATTGTCAGCGGTTTGCCTTTATATCTTTTGCTGACTCTGCCAGTGGATTTGTGTCAGAAAGAAATTGAATAGTTGATTTTCAAAGTATTAACTGAATGACAATGTGAATTTCAGTTGTTTTATGTTCAATGAGGATTTTTTTCACCTCGTTCTTAAACAGTACCAGAGTAACCCTGACCTCTGAGATTTTGGTTGACAGTCTTCATTGTGTAGATGGCTAGACGGCTTGATAATGACTTGGGGTTTGGAGTCGGCCGTTTTTGATAGTATTGGCCTGGTATTGTATTTCTCTTGGTTTGGCACTGTGGCCTTAAAAAGAGTTGTGGTATTCAGCAGGGAAAGTAAGTTAGTGTGATTTGTGTGTTGTTTTCACCCCAATAAGATTTTAATTTATTTAATGCGTTTTCATCAAAAAAATAATAGCCTGAATTGAAATGTGAGCGAACAGCAAGCCTTACTCACTGCCAGTTAAGAGTGAGTGCACTCACATTCTTCTCAGAATAACTGAATAGGCGGGTGATTTTTTTGGCTCTGTTCCTGAAATTCATTCATTGCCTTTTGCTGCATTAAAGCCAAATGAGCCAAAAAAGAAAAAGCTGGCTGGACCAACTTACCCAAAAGATCAAGAATCACTCTTAATGCTGCGATAGTTTTGAAATCTGGACCTAGGTCAGTTTCACTCTTCCTATAAAAATGTACCCACCAAAAATGTATTATTTTTTATGTTTCAAATATAGAGACAATCCAGACATTAGGACTCTCTTTTTAGTTCCTGATTGCGGCCTTCAGAAAAAGCTGGTCTTTGCCGGCTCCTCAAGCCATAAGTGTTCAAGAAGTCAAGAAATGTGCTCGTAATCAATCTACTCTTATAATCAAGCTTAACCTTCCTGTCTCTCTCCCACTCTCTTGCCTCACTCACTTATTCCCTGTCTGCATGAATGGCTCTTTTCCAGTCTTTTGGACAACAGCACGGACCATATGCTGGCATGAAGATGGTGGGAGTGTCATATGGTCATTTTGTCTCAAACTGAGACTGCTTTCGCAATGGTCCCAAAATCACTGTTCCCTATATTGGAAAATCAGGAGCACTAAATAGAATCTTACATATCATAACGATTTTCAAAGTTGATCAGTCTTCATGCTTGCCCATTTCTCCCACATCCAACACATCAATGAGAACCAACTGTTTGCTTACTGTCTAATACATTCCAGTCCTTGACATGAAAATACACTACATTAGAGATATTAAATGAGATGGGAGCAGTTCAACAAAGTCCAGCCCTTCAATCAAAAGAGTGTTGTTAGTAAAGGCACTGGGGGAAAACCTAGCTTGTTCTGCAAATATGCACATGCATCATAGTTGGAGCAAACTGAACAACACAGTTTTGTGTGTTATGTTTTTACCAGTGATTTCACAAATATGTTTTTGAAATGTTAGCTTGGCTTTTAGTTTCAGGTTTACAGCCAAGACAGACATAGACTGGACATATTTACCAATAATGACTTTTACTTCGTAGTGGATAACAGTGGTGAACTGTGACTAGTAATACTAGGCCTTCAATTCAAAAATTAGAAAAGAACAAGGAAGATGTCCTATCCAATAGTGCTTATTTTGGCTAGCACCCCTATGGGATTCTAGTAGTATGTTAGCACTAATTTTACATTAACATTTTTGACCGTTCTAGATTAAACATGTACATT